ATAATTAACTATTTAAAAAAACTATAAATTAATTAAATTATAATTAAAATTAATGACATTAACAAAATTAGCGCTGCCATAACCTCACCCCTATTTTATTGGTCGAAGCTGTGCAACAATTTCTTGAATTGCATCCCGAGACAATGTTATATGTACCGGGTACAGGCGCACAAAAACTGGCATTTATTTTTGATTAAATCACCAATTTAGTCTCTCAACTTTCAGTTTTGGACTATGTTCATCCTTTAACTTAAAAAATTATCAAATTTGTCCTTAAACTTTATGTTTTATCTCTTAAATTTGTCTTTCTATCAACGGAAGAGCCCACATGACATGTTACTTTCCCATGAATTCACATTATTTATTTATTTTTTATATAATTTTTATGCATTATTAAATAAATAGATATATTTAATATTATAAATTTTAAATAAATAATTAAAATTAATTATTTAAATGAAACATAAAATTATATTAAAAATAATAAAAAAATTATTCCTCAAATATTTTTTTAATTCATACGATTATGCGTAAAATTTTAAATTGATTTTTGGTGACGTGGACGTTTTATCAGCATACACATTAACATATTTTAATCCTATGTGGATGGTTGCGCACATTTCATTACATAAAATCTAAATCATTTAATTAGATTCAATTAAAAGGCAATTAACTCCAATAAATTATTACATTTTCATGTTTCAACAATGAAATTAAGTATCTATAATTAATTAATTAAACAATTAAGCAAACGAAATTTTGTTCGAAGTACTCGAAGAACTTAGATTAAGATTTGAGTTACCCACCGGAGAAGCCATCTTCTCATGTGGGCTACCAAGATAGAAGCCTATTTCTTCTCAATTAAAACCTCATTTTTAATTTTTTTTATTTAAAAAAGGTTTCTTTTTGGTTTTTCTAATTAAGAAAACTCTTTTTAAGTTTTTAAAATTTATTATTTGACTCAATTTTAATCATTTTGTTATCTTTTTACATACATAGTGCATTAAATGATAGAAATTACAAAATAAAAGAACTAAAAAGATACTTAAAAAGCTATTTTTTGATCCCTTAAAAAAAACTCTTTTTTAATACTTCTACTTTAAATTTTCTATTATCTATTGCGTTAAGTATGCAAAAAAATAATAGAATGACTAAAAAGAAGTTACAAAATAACTTTTAAGGACTAAAAATGAGTTTTTTAAGTAAAAAAGCTAAAAATAAATTTTTTATTAAAGTAGAAGGACCAAAATCAGTTTTAACCATTCTTCCTCGCAAAATCAAAGAATTTCCATAAAAACAACAAAATGGTAACCAATAGAAAGAACTGGGATGGGCATGCTCATCAGTTCATGATCCTTCTCCTCAATTCAAATCTAAGAAATTCCTTCTAGCAAATTAAAGTAAGGCTATTTTTATGATTCAATGTACTGAATAACTGTATAAATACTCAACTTTCCACGCCACAAAACCACAAGTTTAACAAAAAAATTTTTTTTATCGTTAACGAAAAAGAAGAAATTAATTGTGTTGAACCCAATCAGTAGGATCCCTAAACCACAAATCAATAAATCCTCTGGTTATGAAAAAGTTCATGCTCGCGATGCTAACACCACCAAGAAAATGAAAAAGTTTTGCCGATTTAGGAGAACCCAGATAGATTAGAAGTTGGATATGTGTATAAATTTGTTATATATGTTAGTAATTATTTGTGATTTTAAGATATATATATAATATTGAGAAAATATAAAATATTTAAATAATAGATAGAAAGAGGAAGATTGGTTAAATATATATATATATATATATATGTAGTGATAAATGAAGATGAAAGGGGAGGAGAAGGAGAAAAAGAATAATAACAACTAAATTATTAATATAAAAATAGAAAATAAATGAGGATATAATTTAGAATGATAAATATAGTGCGAAAATATGAGAGGTATGCTAAAAGATGGAGTCATACAAAAAAAAAAAGAGAGGTGGAGCAATAATATGTAAGTAAAAGGCGTGAAATAATGCTACGAAGTTTTGTTTTTATATTTTGACTTAGAATATATCTAAAATAAAGAAAGAAAAAGAGAATTAGAATAAATAAATATACATATGGAAAATTATTAATACACCTTTGTATTCGACATAGTTTTTGATATCTACTTATTTCAATTATTAAAATATAATATAAGTACAATTGATTTATGTATGTTGTATGTATAATTACATTTTAAAATTTGTCTATTTTTAATTTTAAATTCAAAAAATAATAATTTTTTAATAAATATATTATATAATGTATTAAATTAAAAGATATACTAACCAGTGTTTTGCACACACACACACACATATATATATAATTGATGAAGGTATGAGGAGTGAGTAAAAAAAAACAATAGTGGAAGAATAATATAAAAAAGAACCATAACAAAAAAATTATTAATATAAAGAGAGTATGTGAGAGTAAGCTAACACATTATCTCATGAGAAAAATTAATATAATGTGAAATATTGATAAATGAAAAAATACCAAGAGAATAACATTAATGAGTAAGTCTTTTATGTTTGATTTAAAATCTTTTAAAATTGACATTTAAGAAAGATATTGTTAGAAATCAAAAAAGAAGGAGAAATATTTGAAGAAAAGTTTATTACTTTCTTCAATAATATTGTATGTACAATGATCTTGTATAGGTGTTTACAAAAAGAATATTTTAAAGTATAAAGTATATAGAGAGAATATTTTAAGGTATAAAATATTTACAATAAGTGTGAATATAATTTAAATTATTGTATTTACATCTTAACATCTCCTTTCAAACTCAAGGTGGCTGTGATGAAACCAACTTGAGTTTGAAAAGAAGAGTATGAAAGCATCTAAGAAAATGAGCCTTAGTAAAAAGGTTTGCTCGTTGATTAGCGAAACCAATAAAAACAAAATGAACAATTCCTTGTGCAACATGATGGTTAACAAAGTGACAGTCAACCTTAATGTGTTTAGTGCATTCATAGAAGACATCATTATGAGCAATCTGCATAGCACTCTGATTTTCACAATAAAGATTAGTAGTAGGCGGTTGAGAAACACCTATATCTTCTACTAGCCAACGTAAATTAAGTAACTCCGATGTGGCATTTCCAAGTGCTCGATATTCAGCCTCTGTGCTAGAACGTGATGGAACTGTCTGCTTCTTGCTTTGCCAAGAGATTAAGGAATCACTAAGAAAAGACAATATCCAATAGTGGATTTACGATCATTAGAGTCTCCAACTCAATCGGCGTTAGGGTAAGGATGAGGTTCAAGAGATGAATGAGCAGAAAAGTGAAGTCCATGAAACATGGTACCTTTAATATACTGAATAATGCGAAGTACTGTTGCATAGTAAGTGGAGTGAGGTGTAGCCATAAACTGGCTAACAACATGAATTGCATAACCTATGTTTGGTCATGTTATAGTGAGATAAATCAAACTTCCAACCAACTGTTTGTAATGAGCAAGATCAGGTAATGGAGAACCATCTATGGATGTAAGTCGAACATTGGGCTCAAGAGGAGTAGATGCAGTCTTACTGTTAGTGAGTCTAGCTTTAGATATATGATCATAAGCATATTTTGTTTAGGTGAGAAGATATCCATCATCAAAAGAGGTGATCTCAAGTCCCAAGAAATAGCTCAAAACACTAAGATCTTTCATCTCAAACTTATGATTGAGAAATTACTTAAGATCATGAATACCTAAAATATCATCCCCAGTAATGATTGTATCATCAACATAAAGAAGTAGTAGAACCATTAGTCTTGTGTATGAACAGTGTAGTATCATGAGGACTAAAAGTAAAACCAAATTCACTGATGGTGGTACTAAACTTCGCAAACTAGGCTCGAGGTGTTTGTTTCAAACCATATAGAGCTCGCTTCAATCGGCAAACTTTGTTTCAAACCACTAATGCTCAAGTCTAGGAGGTGGTTTCATGTAAACTTTCTCTACAAGATCACCATTTAGAAAGGCATTTTCACATCCATCTGAAACAATTTCCATCTTTTTGTAGCAGTAATAGCAATCAAACTACGAACTGAAGTAAGACGAGCAACAAGTGCAAAGGTTTCTTCATAATCAATCCCATATCCTTGAGTAAATCCTTTAGCAACCAAATGAGCCTTGTAACGCTCCATGAAACCATTAGACCGAATTTTGATCTTGTACACCCATTTACAACCTACTAAAGGCTTTTCAACAAGAAGATCAACTAAATCCCATGTACGAGTTTTGTCAAGAGCTTGCAATTCATCTTGCATAGCTTGTTGCCAAAAAGGGTTAGAAGAGGCCTCTTGCTAGGATTGAGGCTCATGTAAGGAGGTAATAGCAAGAAAGCAATGATAATCACGAAGATAGCTAGGAGGATTTCTTACCTGAGTAGGATGACTTGAAGGTGGATTAAGGATCTCATTTTCAGGCTCAAGATCAATAGGGTTAGATCCAATAGGTGATACAGAAGAGGTAAGGGAAGAAGACTTAGCATGGTCTAATACATTACCAGCAAGTAGAACATCTTCTATAAAACTAGGTGGAGCATGTGGAGAGGCATCATGGAGCTCATCAAATGTATCTGTAGCAGAGTCACTAGGAAATAGCTCAATAAAAGGGTTAGTAAAATGTGGAGGTTGATCAAAAGATGACAACTGGAAGTTTGATAATGAGGAAAACATAGTGTGTTCCCAAAAGACAACATGGTGTGAGACTCGAAGTTTTTATGACATAGGATCCCAACAACGATATCCTTTATGTGTAATCCCATAACCCAAAAAACAACATAATCAAGCTTTAGGCTTTAACTTATTATGTTCATGAGGTGAAAGAAGAACAAAACAAGTATAACCAAAAACCTTGAGAAGATCATAGGTAGGAGGAATACCATACAAACATTCGTATGGAGACTTATTATTGATGATCAATGATGGAATCCGATTAATGAGATAAACAACTATAAGAGAAGCTTCACACCAAAATCACTCTGGACAAGAAGACGAAATGAGTAAAGCACAAACAGAATCAAGGATGTGTCTGTGTTTACATTTGGCTTGCCCATTTTGTTTAGAAGTGTAAAGACAAGATTCTTGTGCTAGTGTACCCTGTTCTTTCATAAAGGATTGAAGTTTAGTATTGTAATACCCCAAAAATTTCAAGAACATTAAAGTTGAGTTAGGGACTTAATGGTGAGAAAACGTTATTAATGAACCTAATAGTCAAAATTTCAAATTCCAAAGGGTTCAAAAGATTTTGGATAAGGCCGGCTGACTTTTCTTTTTTTCTTTCTCTCTGTCTTCCCCAGCCATTTTCGCATGTCTGCTCTGTCTCTTTTTCTCCCCTGCAGCCGAAAATGAACCCAGCCATCACCAACGCCCCCACCTTTGAAATTGGTAAGAGAATTTGATGATTTTTGTTCTTTTCTTGTTCAAGAACAGGCTTAGGACTTAGAAATCTTCTCCCTTGCAGAAAATTTCCCAGATCTGCTGTCTTCTTCCTCCTTTGCCACCGGTTGCTGCTGGGTGTGAACTTCGGTTTTCCTGGTAAAAATCAGCCATGAATTTCCTCTTTTTAGCCTTGATGTATGTGGGTTCACTCTAATTTTCATTTCTTTCAATTGCTAGTGGTCCCTGTGGAAGCCCGCCAATTTTTCCACCAGCTCTTCCCCATACCTACCAGCTCCAGCCTTGCTTGCTGAGAATTTCTGGTAGGTTGGCTTCTCTAATTTTCGACAATTGGTTGATTAATTGCTGCCTTGTTGAGTTTAATTGGTTGTATGGGTGCCCTTATGTTGTCCGAAAATTCTGTTGAAATAGTGAGAATTTCGGCAACTTGAGAATGGGTTTTGGTTGATGGTTTATGTAGGAAAATTGGTGGGTGGGACTGTTGTGGTGATGTCCGAAAGAAAAAGGGAAAAATGGAAATAAAAGCCTTGTTCCCCATTGTGTCCGTGAGTTTGGGGAAGCTATATATATATATGTATTTATTTGTGTATATATATATATATACTCAATCCCGGTTAATGCTCAAATTTCGGATAGAGATAAAATAACAATAAATAAAGAAATAAAATTTCTTTATAGATATTAATTCGAAAATATTGTGATTAGGTTTTTGATCGTCCTGTGACCCTAGCACTTGGGTTAAGCTTTCTGTTCTGTGTGATTAAGGTAAGTAAATTATGGTAATGCCCTTAAATTTTAAAGCATATTTTAACTTGTTTTTGAGATGGTGACAAGGTTTAAATGGATTTATTTGCATCTGAGCATGATTAAAATGGAAATTGAACTTTTATTATTTTCTTATTTTCTAGAATTGAGCATGCCCACATGAAATTCTTTCGGTTTATTCTTGAATTTGAGGGCGATTGTGAATCATGGATTTCTTGTAAATCCTACCTGGTTTTGTCTCCGATATGGTCATGTTATTCGTGTGCCCGTTAGTGGGAGGTTTATAAACGCTAGCACATGTCGACATGTTACTGATAGAACCGGTTCGCTTGTGTTATCCTACTAGTGGGATTATACACTAGTAATCGTGTGCCTGCCAGTGGGAGGCGTATAACACTGGTCATGACTAATAGAGGAGACCACTACTTAATTTTATTCTGCATTAATGGTTTGTTATTAAAACGCTCTACTTATGTTTAGACTGTTTATTTGGCATGCTTTAAATTTTGATCCCGGGCATCCATATTTAAGTTTTCCTTGTCCACCATTTCAGGTAATGAGACCCAATGCATGGGGAGCCTAGGGGAGTGACGAGCTAGACGGCTAAGCATTATTTTGGACTTAGGTTTTTGTAGCTAGGCCGCTAGTCACCCATGCTGACTTAGAAAATTTTTGTGTACAGAACTCCCTTAGTTATAGTCATGACTGTATAGATGAAGTTATAAATCTTTGTACATATTGACTAGTAAATATTTAAGAAAAAAAAACTAGATATTACCTGAGTTTCTAAATCTGAATTATCTGAATTAGTAATTATGAACTCAGTAAGTTTCGAGCCTTGTGCATTTGTGGGATCCATTCCCGAGTGCACTGCGTCTGTTTCGCTCTTGGTTTTGGGGCGTGACAAGTATTAAGTTATTTTGTGGCATTGTCAGCTCTCAAAACTTTGATAATTTTAGAGAATAGGATTTTGACCATGGTAGCAAAATAAATATAAATTTGTGGCAACTCAGAGCGATTTTTCATAAGATATATTCAGGTAAAGCGAGTATGATCATTAATAAATAACACAAAATACCTGGAACCCCCCATGGTAGGTGTTGGAGATGGACCCCAAATATTAGAATGCACAAGAGCAAAAGAAGCAGTAGAAAGAGAATGACTACTAGTAAACAATAAAGTCGATTGTTTTGCATATTGACATGACACATAATGCAATGATTCATTTGGAATAGATCCTAATAAACCATGAGAGATAAGAGGAAAGAGTTTACCAACTAAGGTGTGTCTAAGCAGTGAGTGCCATAAATATTATCTTTTTTTTTTTTAATTATCACTTGTCTTAACAACAATATTAAACAAAATCAATGTTTGTAAGTGTTGGCTCAAATACTCTAGGAAGGGATGAATTTGAAGTCTTCAAAAATTTTCTTCTATTTACAACTACCAAATGAAAAACAAAGTGAGAAGGGAGGAAAAGTGTGGATAATTAATTTTATAGAGTTCTAGCCTAACCACTTGGCATCTAATCCTTTACATTGGCCTGATTTACCAAAAATTTCCTTTACGTTAGCTTCACTCACCAAGAATTTCCTTTACATTTTCCACTAATGCTCAAGAGTAGATTAAATGAGCTCTATTCAATCCCTTTATAATGTGTTTTTCACTCAAACACTTCCTTTTACAAAGATCATAAATAAACCTCCCTTGGTTTCTCTCTTCAAAACTTCACTCACTCTCAAGTATCTCTTTTTGGAGTTTCACTCACTCTTAGGATCACAAAAAAGGGTAGAATGAAAGATTTTAAAGGATATGACCCCTGAAAGATCTAATTTGTAAATGTAAACTCAAAACTCTTGAAATGATTTGCAAATATAAGATCAAATCTTTTTTTTTTTTTTTTATCTTCTAATATGTGTCAAGAAGCTCTTCAAGATGTTTACCAACCATATTTATAGAGGCAAAGTTGAAACTAGTCATTACTACTAGTTTATAGCAATTCGATGCACTACTAAATCATTAGATTCAAAAAACTAGTTGTTATTCTACTATCAAGAGTCGAATCTATAACTCCCTAGATTCGACTCTCTAAACCAAGAGTCGACTCTTCATGAATTTTTAAAATTTAACCAATTTTCATCCTCCATCCCAAGAGTTGAATTTGCAAGTTGAGAGTTAAGTATAGCTCTCCAAGATTTGGCTCTTTATTTCTATATTCTAATCTCCTTTGTCTCCTAGAATTTCCATTCTTTTTTGGTTCGAAAGTTTGAATTTAGAAATCTTTATTCAAATCTTCAAGCATTTTTTGCATTTTTTTTTCATACCTCAACTTCAAATCATCATATTTTTTTCATTCCAACTCTATTTTGAATGTTCTTATGCTAGTTAGAAAGCTTCGATGTCTACTTTCATATAAACTAACTCTTGAACCAAAACTCTCACTGCCTATATATTCTAGAATGAACGAGTGAAAGTCATTGCTGCAATGCATGGATGCTTGATTTTAGATAACTTTCTCTACACACTTGCACAAAACTTATTACACTTTTCCAATGATTTTGTTATTATCAAAATCATCTAGAAGTACTACAATAAAAGCAATATTAACAAAATTTTTGTGGTCTTAATAGATTTATGTGTGACCATAATTACAATGGGTAAAATGCATGCTAATAAGAAGTCTTCTTCAAGCCTTATCAAGAGGTCTGGTTATGGCCACACACTATATTATTAGGGCCACACAATCTTTAACATTTTTTTTTTATAAATAATTAGTTATGGTATTTAAAAATATACCATGTGCAAATTGCCATATACCTACACTATTTTTTTTACTTACACTCATATTTTTGTAGGTATAGCTGTTTGTATCTACAATTTACTTAGTTGTGTGTATATAATTTAAATATACCTATGTATTTTAAAGAATTATAGGAATAATATGACTTTACCAACGAATATGACTTAATATAGGTATAAAAAAAAAACATATACCTACGGTCAACATCAATTATAGGTATAGAAGCACCTATAGCTATAAATTTTCAAAAACCATAACTATGGTACATTATCGTTTGTTAACCTTTGAAAAAAAAAAGGAGAAAAAAAAAACAAAATCTTATGTTGGCCTCCAAAAAGCCAACTACAAATTCATGAGAGAAGCAAAATCGAAAAAAAAAATTATATAACTATTATATTGAAAAGACACTTAAAACTGGGAACAAAACCAATGATTAAAAAAAAAAACACACCAACGACAATTTGAGAACAAAAAGGGAACCATTCTCTTCAAATCCCCATGAGAAGCAATAGTAAGCAAGAACACCAACAATTGGATTGAAAGGAAAAATTGAAAGTCAATCGCTACCCCATCATATCTCTTTACCTTGGTGATTTGTCAAGCTCCAACTGCTTCACCACAGCAATAATCTGTGAATTCCAAACTCACAAAGTGGTTTAAGTTAAGCTTTGAATTGATAGCTAACCTTTCAACTTTGGGTCTTGTGGATTATTGTAAATTTTACATTATTGGATTTCGAGAGGGTTTTCATGGTTGTTCTATAGCTTGAGGACACCAGAAAGCAAGTCGAACCCACTAACATATGACAATTTGAGAATTTAAATCTCCCTATAAAACTGTGGATAAATATAAGAGTTTTGTGTAGTTTAAATAAGAGGGTGAGAAAAGGGTGAAAATTGGGAAGTGGAATGATTTGCTTATGTATGATCATTGTGATTAATTAGAAATAATCATGTGTATACATATATATTTGGAAGTAATATGATCATTAGAGTTTTAGAGTACATTTTGTATTGCAAATATTAATAAAAATCAACTTTTATTGTTTAAAATAAATTAATAATCATAATTTTGATAAAGTATATAATATATTATTTTTTATATTTACTTGAATGAGTTCTTTTTGGTTTTTATTTGATAGTTATTTTATTCTTCTATTGGCATATGAGTAAAATTGTAGAATAAAAGAATCTCACATCACCTAAAAATAAAAAATGAAGCTTATTAATACTCTATATAAGAAAACACCTTAATCCCATATTGGTCAAAAACAAAAAGTATAACTTACGAATATCTTATATAAGGAAAGATTTAAAATATATTAATCAAAATTTTAAAGTCTTGTAATGTTTGTCTTGGGCCAAATAATTTTATTATTCGCCTTTAAACATATTATTATTATTATCATCATTATTATTATTATTATTTAAAATTATTTGAATTAAAATATATTTTAAAATAATAATAATTAATTTTATTGTAAAAATTGTATTGAAAATTTTTTAAATTTCATTTTCATTTTTGTTACAACTTATGATGTTGTTATATCATATATTTGACAACATAGATACTATTATAATATATTAGTTTTAAACCCAAATAAGGTTGTTATAATGTGTTTTTTTTTACATCAACTTATGTGGCTTTGTAATAATATATTTAGTAACAATTAATATTGTTATGAAATATTCATTTTACATACAACAAAGTTGTTATAATATAAACTTTTTTATTACAACTTATAGTATTGTTAGATAATATATTTAGTAAGAACAAATATTGATGCTAAATGATGATACCGAAACTATTATTTTGTTGTTGTCATTGGTTTTTACCTATAGTTAATAAGTGAATATATTTTTATTTACTTATGATTTTATAAATGTAGGTATAAATTCTCTAAAACTTTTTACTTACGAATTTAAAAACTCTAATAATATTATTGTAAATATAGCTAATTATCTTTAGTTACATAGTATACTAATTATGTCATCTAATATGTAACTATAGTATTTAGGAGGGTTATAGCTATTTTTTTTTGGAAATTTAGTTACAATTTTTGTGTGTAGGTAAATGACAATTATGATGTAATGATATCAGTATATAGATTGAGTTTAATATGTTAAGTAATAAATATTGATAAGGTGAATTTTCATATATATTAATGTAGAATTTTTACCTTAATATTATTGATATTTGGACAAGTTTCATAATATTTACCTTGATTTTATATAATTTTCATTTGTGCAAAAATAGAAAAGAGAAAAACTTAATTGGAAGGAACTGAAACGTTTAGGACCAAACCGAAGAAATTAAATTTTAACGATCAAAGTGTCAACTTGATAAAAGATGTGGAACAATAACAGTTTTGTCCATGAAGAAACAAAATTGCATTTTGGCCCAAAATTCCCGGACTTTGTTGGCAAAACCCTTATTTAGCCCCTCATCTTGTTAAATTTGAAGGTTTTAACCCCTCACCTTACTAAATTTATAAGTTTTAGCTCCTCACTTTATACTAGGACACTTTTAGCCCCTCACCTATTAAAATTGAAAAAAATAGCCCTCACTTTATAACATTTTGTTAATTCTGTTAGTTGACTGTTAATTCTATTAACTGACTGTTAGTTGACTGTTAGCTATTAAAAATCTTCTTTTAACTAATACAGTTAACATAATTAATTTTATAATATTTTATTAATTCTGTTAATTGACTATTAGTTGATTGTTAGTTGATAAAAATCTATTTTCAGTTAATAGAATTAACAGTCAGTCTAACTTAAGGGCTATTTTTTTAATTTTAATAGATAAGAGATTAAAATCTATAAACTTAATAAAGTGATGGATTAAAAGTATTATAACATAAAATAAAGCGATAAAGTGGGTTTTTGCCGACTTTGTTTCGCGCATCGGAGAAGATGTCGGCACTTCGGTTTAGGGTGTTGTTGAATCCTTTATTAACTTTTACTCTAATTAAGTTTATTATACATTTTTTTATATTAAATAATAAGTCATATAATAAAAAATAATTATTTCATTTCTTTATTTTTCTTCATTTAGTCAAATACTTGAATTCAAAATTTTTAATTTTAAATCTTAAATTCTTTATTATTCAAATCACCACTTCAACAATTTTACTATGCTCTTATAAATAGTCATTCATGATGTAAAGTACAGGACTTTAGATAGGCATTTTGGCACTCTTAAAAACTAAGGTTTGGTTTGAGAGTTTTGATATGTAATTATAATTATTGATTTTTTAATCTTTTAATATTTTAAAAACAATATACTTAATTTTTATTTTATTTAATTTTTATATATTTTTAAAATAATTAAAAAAATAAAAAATAAAAGAAAAAAATATTAAAAATAGTTGTCAAATGAAACTTAAGTTAGACCTTATAAGAATTCATCAATAATAAATTAACATCATCAAATTAAATTTTACTTTTCTTTGAGTTTTATTCTCTGGTTTAATTTGAATTATTAGTTTATGAATATGATTTTAGATTATAATATTTTTATTATGAATTAATTCAACTTGTTAGTACCATGTGTAGTCTACTTAATTTAATATAAATTTTATAATTTTATATTTTTAATTAAAATTATTTTTATGAGGAGATTTTATTATCAAACTTAAAAATTTGATTGCCTTTTGATAAATTACGTAATTTATAAATGAACTTGAAAGCATTGCAAGAATTAGGCTAACAATGACATACATCATGTGTTAGATTAATAGATTGAAAATTAATTAGTGTTACATTTAGTAATGAAAAAAGAAGAGAGTTTGTAGCTTTTATTTCTGAAATTAGAGATTTTCACGTCATTAATGTTCATTAATTTATTTTAAATTATATAAAATTATAACTAATATAACAAGTAAGGAGAGAATTAAGTTAATTTAAGAAAGTTAATTAGTTAATTTAAAGGAAATAACTTGTTGTCATATACAATAATATTTAATAAATTAATCTTAAAAACATATTAGTTTAAAATTTATATTTCATTGATTATGATAAAATTGGTCATCTTGGTTCTTCATATCCTAGTTACCTTTATCTTCCTCCCTTTGTCTTAAAATAATAAATATTTTTTAATTTAAAATTTATTTTAGAATAATACTCATTTTTTTATTTTAAAGAAAATAAATATTTTTTCTTACTTTACCTTTATAGTTATATTTTAACTTTAATGATTCATTCTTTAATTAAAATAGTTATTTATTTTTTAAGGAAAAAATAGATAAGACTAAAAATTGTTCCCAAATTCTTAATATGAAAATAAAATAAAAAATACTTATGATTTGAGTAATATTTTTTAGTTATTTTTAATTATTCAAATAAATTTAAGATTAATTATTTTTTATACCTAATTAACCAATAATGCTTGTTAATTTAATACTCTTCCCATCATTATATTTTCTAAAATAATTAATGAATTTACTAAAGAATTTTAACACAGCAAATATCATATATTTTATCATCAATCAAGTAATAATTATAGTTATTAATAAATTTTTACAACTAAATTAGATAGAATCAGTATTTAGAAAAACAAAATATAAAAATTTGAGTGCCCATAACAATTTGTTGAGTGGCAATAACCTTTTCCCATTATATGTTCTTTCTTGATATCTATATATACATATATATATTGAAAAATAATTTAAAGATAATTTTTTATATTATTTTTATATTATTTAAATAATTAATTTTTTATTCATTTAAAACTTATAATATTTAATACATTTACATATTTAATGATATATAAAAATTATATATAAAAAATAATAAAACATTTGTCCTATATCACCACCTTTCTCTTTTGCCCCAAAATTTTTTTTTTTTCTCTATATATTTTTCATTATGGCCAGTCTTCCACTGTATGATCATCTTTTGCGGGCAAAATAATGGAAGAGACCATAGTTCTGTATCCCTCAGCCGGAATGGGTCGCCTGATTTCCATCATTGAGCTAGCTAAGTTCATACTCAAACGATTTCCTTCATTCTCCATCAAAGTTCTTCTGTACACATCTCCTTTCAGTCTTTCACCTCCTTTGATGCCATTACCCAATACATTGACTCCGTATCCACCACCACCACCACTTCCACCAACTTCCACCATCTCCTGAGTCCTGAGTCCTGACAGTCCCAATCCCACCCAAGTCTTCATCTTTGAATGTTGAAGTGCTTGCTTATGAATTTCCACGCCTCAATAATCCAAATCCGCCATGTCCTTAGGACCGTGTTGGAGACATCTCAAATCAAGGCCCTTATCTTAGACTTCTTCAATGATGTCGCATTTGATATCACCGATGAATTCAAGATCCCCACTTACTATTTCTTCACCTCTTCTGCTAGTAGCCTTACTGTCTTCCTTTACTTCCCCACCCTTCATCGAAGCACCGAAGAAGATTTCAAAGACGTTAATAAATTACTTGAAATTCCTGGATAGTCATCCTTCCCAGCTTCAAATATTCCAGCAAATCTACAAGTGCGCAACAGTTACATCTATAGAAGATTCTTAGAAAGTGCGGAAAGGTTTCCCAAAAGCAGAGGAATCCTCGTAAACACCTTTGAATCATTAGCGAAAAGGACAGTCAGATCTCTTGTTGAGGGACTATGCGTTCCAGATGGCCAAACTCCTCCCATTTACTGCGTTGGGCCTTTGATTTCCACAAATGAAGGTACTGAACATGAGTGTTTAGGTTGGTTAAGCACTCAACCGAGTAAAAGCGTTGTGTTTCTCTGTTTTGGAAGCATGGGGGATGCTTTCTGCTAAGCAGCTGACGAAGATGGCAATTGGATTCACTACAAGAAAATGGGTTTTCTGTGACCGAAAATGGTGACTGATTATCAATCAGTCATTAGTATTTTTTATATTTATGATTAATTTAAGATAATAATCACTAATATTAATTTTTAATATTATAATATATAATTTGAACACAAAAATAATATTTAGTTATTAAAAATTTGTTACAATAAACTACTTAAATTTGTGATGGTCAAAATCATCACAAATAAATTAACTATTAGTTACTTGAAAAATATTAATTACAAAAGATAAATTCATGTCACAAATGCTCTTTTTTTCTTGTGACTAAAATTATGATTTGTAACAAATATATTTTGTAACTATATGGGGTTTGTTACTAAAAAAATTCACAAGAAGTAACAAAATTTTTTGTCGCAATTAATCCACAATTGAATTTAAAAAATAAATAAATTAGTTACAACAATATTAATCACTATAAATTAGGTAAATATTTGTGACTAAAAAAAATCTACCACAAAGAAAGAAATTTCAACATTTATAAATTTAATAATCCATAATTTGTGAGATTGAGAAAATTCATAATTTCTTATGGATAAAAGTCAGCATTATAAAATTAACTTTAAAAAAAAACATAATTTATTATTTTCCTAGAAGATTTAATACAATTTGATCAATTTATTTAATTGTAAAATTCAATTTTAGTCCCCAATAATATTTTACATTTTAATCTTCAAATTTTAATTTCATTCAAATATGCCCCTAATGTCACATCTAAAATTTTCTATTTCATCTCTCAACCTTTTTAGATTTATCAATTGAATTCTTATATTTTCATTTCTTTCATTGAAGATTTCTTTTAGCATAGACTACAAAGTCATGAAAAATGAAGAATATCTTATTATGTGCACATATAATTATGAAAACTATATAAAATTTTTTTAAAATTTTAGATAAAAATTCATGTTATCATTATATATTTCATATACTTTATTTTATTAGCACTAATACTACAAATATCATAAATGAACTTCATGTTATGAAGAAAAAAACAAAACAAAACCACTAAAATTAAATTAAATTAAATGATAATATCTTAATAAAATAGTTTACATAACTTTAATAATAGATTCCAAAATATTGTCCCAAAACATTAAACTACAAATCAAAGCAAATGATCATAAATCATCATCATCTGTATCTTCTAGTGAAGGCCCCCCCTTCTTTTTCACTGAAAATAAGATCATCCTTATAGTTAGTTTCATCTTCTATCAACAGGTCATCATGAGTTATTGACCTTTGTTCAACATCAACATTTTCTATTTCTAATCGATTCAAAATAAGATCATTATCACACACCAAGGCATCTTGTTGTGTATGCCTGATATCCTCACTTTCATGATATGACTTAATTGCATCTTCATCAAGAGGAAAATCATAAAAATCACGAGGTTTTGTCTTGATCATAACATACCAATTTGAATTTTTTATATCTGACACATAGTACACCTGTTTAGCTTGACTAACCAATATAAAAGGTTCATTAGTTTGAAGTCTATGTGTAACATTTACTAGTGTAAACCCATATTGGTCTTCTTTACATCCTTTGTTCCTTTCTTTACTGAATACATCCCACCAATCACACTTAAAAAGAGCCACACTATGTCCTCCATAATTTAGTTCAATAATTTCATTTAATTTAGTTCAATAATTTCATTTAGTACCCCATAATAATCAATGCCTCCATCTCCTTTTACATATACTCCACTATTTTGTGTTTTCAACTTCATATCATGTTCTTTAGTGCAAAATTTCCAACCATTAATAAGGTAACTTGTATATTTGATCACCCTTCTGTCAGGTCCCCAAACCAAAAATTCAAGTTCCTCATTATATGTCGTAGTTCCTTCATCTTTCCAACATAAAATCTAAAGTAAAAGAAAAAAAAAAAAGATATATAAACAATATTTTTCATATTAGATTCAAAAAAGAACACTCACCAATAGTCATTAAGAAAAAAAAAAGTATTGTTGACAAATTAGTAACATATAATCACTCTACTAAATGCAACATATCAAGAGAATTTATACCAAATTCATGTGATTGTTTCATATTGTGCATAAAATTTAAAAATAAAAAAACTACACAAAGAAAACCAAAAAGCTTTTTAAAAATTATGGCACAGGAATGACTAAAATCACTAAAAATGCCAAGGTCTAATTATAATCTACAAAATACAATTTTATATATCATTTCTCTTATTGTCACTCATGCATGTTGTGAGTATTCTAAAACATAACCAATAATTCATATACTAGTTCATAGAATTGCACCAACATCTAATTTGGTGAATCCAAAACTTTACTTATATATATATATATATAT